AAGCCTGTGCCTCTAGACTGTGAGTTACTCACATGTGTCTCGGCCCCTCTCTTCTTAGGTGGGATGGGATGGCTAGAGTGGGCTGGAGTTGCGAAGGCTAGGGGGAGCTGAAACAGGGCATTTCCCCCCCATCAAGGCAGCTTATCCTTGGCTAAAACATCAATAGTTTAGGCTCAGATAAAATAGCTTCTTTTGAGTCAGGCTTTGTTAAGAACAGAAGCTGTGGATTATTTCAAAATGGTTACTTTTCCTCTCCTCCTGCCAACAACATGAGGAGATTTTTCTCAGATCTTAACTGTGAGATCTTTGTAGAGCTCTTACAGGTAAAACTTCCAAACAGTAGGGGCTCTCCTATGATTAGGTCTCCTGAAATTTTTAATCTTTTAGACTTGTCCACAGTGATCCTCCTGCAATTTATCAAAATTACATTTTAAGGTTTCCTAGCCTGACCAACAGGAAGGTTTCTGCTTTGGGGTTCTGCTCTTGTAAGTTGTATTTTCTGAATCTGCCTCCTTGTCTCCAATTTTAGGGGCATCAGTTTGTCCTGCAACCTCACTTCTCTGATCAAAAGACTAAGAATTGTTGATTTTTCAGTTTGCTGAACTTTTTGCTTGTTATTAGCATGGAGTGACAACTTCTGAGATCCTTGCACATTTTACCAGAAACCTGAGGTACATTTGAAGGATTTTCATTAAAATTAGAATTCTATTTTCATATTTCATGTGCAAGTGAGAATACTTAAAAGTGACACGTTTTCAGCCCTGAAATTGCTTAGTGATGGAACCATTTCTCAAAATACAATGGGTTTTCCACAAATTAATTTTCCAAAATCATTTCATCAGGTCTAATAGATTTTCATAACATTTTAACTTAATATGTCTGATAAAGAGCTTGCATGGGGGTAGGAGAAGTGACAGCTCTCATACTTTCTTATTGTTTGCTTTTGCTTGCATTATTATACTTATTATTGTCCTCAAAAGATGTTTTATTTTTTAAAACTACTTGTCCATTTTGAAATGATTAGTTTGATTAGAACTAGCTAATTTTATCTATCAATCCTCTTCTCCAGATACATATAAACTGTACTACATTGCCATACACTGAGACTAGGGGAAAAAATAAACATGCAATTGTTCAGTTTTAGAACTCCCATTCTCCTCAGAGAAAGAAGAGCCTTGTGTATCATGTGTGACGTATAATTAACTTATAGATAGAAAAAGGATTATTGCAGTTTCTAAATTTTTGTAAGATGGCTGACTGAATTTTCAGATAAAAATAAAGGTGAATAAGAATTGCAATATTTTGCTACATCTCATTGATTTATCTTTTACATAATCCATAAGCCCTTACTGAAAAGATTCACTGATAAGACTAAAGAAAGGTAGCATTTCTCTCATTGTAGCTGAAAAGTCTCTTAAACCCAAAGGGTAACTGCTTCACCAGATCAATAGATACCAAAAAACCAGATTCTTTTAGTTTACTTTTTTTGATATTGTCAAAAATCACTCTGCTAGCATGATTTTTAGACTAGAAACAAGAAGTCTGCAGCAATTTTAGGCATTATATACAAGTCTTATAACAACCAGAAGAACACAGTCCATCTCTTGGAAGAGAGAAAAATCATTCCAGAAGAACTCCCTTGGAGTTTGGATGCAATCTGCTTACCCTGAGGCATATAGTTAAGGGAATGAAGGGTGGATGTCTAAAAAAGGAGAAAAAGTTTCCTATTAAGGAGAGAAAAGAGTTGCTGGGTAGGAAACCACTGGGTAGCTTAAATAAGCAGATTAATCATACTATGTTGGCAATCAATTGGATGAAATGGTCAAATATAGATAGTTGATATATATCACCTTGCTCAGTCAAGGCCTGTAAGAGCATTGGGAAAATGAACTCAATGAATTATCATTTATTTGCAAGAGGCATCATACAATATTCATTTTTTAAGAATGGCTATTTTAAAACTTGTATACTTGCCTTGTACTGGATCTTTAAGAGAAACTTCTCTGTTTTTTCCCACTGATTATGATGTTAGCTGTGAGCTTTTCATTTATGGCCTTTGTTGTGTTAAGGCAAGATCCTTCCATGCCTATTACCTTCTCCATCTATACCTATTTTGTGAGAGTTTTAATCATGAGTGGATGTTGAATTTGGTCAAATGCTTTTTGTGTATCTATTGAAATGGTCATGTGTTTTTTTTTCTATTCATTTTGATAATAAATAGAAAATGTATGGTATATCACATTGATTGATCTGTGTATACGAAACCATACTTGCATCCCAGCAATAAATCCCACTTGGTTAGGATATACGATCTTTTTAACGGGCTGCTGAATTTTATTTGATAGTATTTTATTGAGGATTTTTGATTCTGTGTTCATCAGGGATATTGGGCTGTAGTTTTCTTTCCTTGCAGTGTATGTCTGATTTTGGTGTCAGGGTGATACTGGCCTCATAGGATGAGTTTGGAAGTGTTCCCTTTGCTTTTATTTTTTTGGAAGAGTTTAAGAAAAATTGGTATTACTTCTTCTTTGAATGTTTAATAGAATTACCCATGAAGCCACCTGGTTCTGGGCTTTTCCTTGGTGGGAGATTTTTGATTACTCACACATCACCTTATTTGTTATTGGTGTGTTCCAACTATTTCTGACTCAGTTTTGGCAAGTGGTATGTTCCTAGAAATTTTACTATTTCTTCTAGGTTATCCAGTTTGCTGGCATATAATTGCTCATAATAGTCCCTTCTGATCCCCCTCATGCCACCTAAAACATCAGTTGTATCATCTTTTCTTTCATTTCTGCTTTTATTTATTGACAACTTTTTTTTTTTTTTTACTATAGTCAAGGGTCTGTCAATTTTATTTTTTTCAAAAAACAAAGTTTTGTTAAATGTTCTGTTGTCTTTTATTTTCTATTTGATTGGTTTCCCCTATAATCTTCATTATTTCCTTCCTTTGATTACCTTTGGGCTTAATTTGTTGTTCTTTTTCTAGTTCCTTGAGGTATAAAGGTAGATTGCTTATTTAATATATATTTATTCCTTTTAAATTTAGGCTTTATAGCTATAAACTTCCCTAGCAGAATGTCTTTTGCTGCATCCTATAGGTTTTGGTATGTTGTGTTTTCATTTGTCTCAGATACTTTTAAAGTTCCTTTACTTATTCTTTGACTCAATGATTGTTCAGGAGTGTGTTTAGCATTTTTGCCACTTCATTTCAACATAGTGCTGGAAATCCTAGACAGAGCAATTAGGAAAGAGAAGGACATAAAGGACATCAAAATCAGAAAAGAAGAAAATTATCTATATTTGCAAATGACATGACTATATATTTAGTAAACCTGTTAGAACTAATACATAGATTCAGTAAAGTTGCGGTGTACAAAATCAACATATAAAAATTAATCACGTTTCTATATACAAATTACAAAATATATGGAAAGGAAATTAAGAAGCAATCCTATTCACAGTGGCAATAAAAACTTAAGAATTAACCAAAGAAGGTGAGACTCTTGTACACTAAAATTTATAAAACATTGATGAAGAAAATGAAAGAAGACACAGATAATGGATGGATCTGAATTAATATTGTTAAAATGTCCGTACTACCTGTAATTATCTGCATATTTAATGCAATCTCTCTCAAAATGCCAATGTCATTCTTTACAGAAGTAGACAAAACAATCCTAAAATTCATATGGAATCACAAAAAAATCTCAAATAGCCCAAGCAATCTTGAGCTAAAAGAACAAACCTGGAGCCATTGCACTACTTAATTTCAAAATATATTACAGAGCTACAATAAGCAAAACAGTATAGCACTGTTAAAAAAAAACAGACAGGTAGATTATGGAACAGAATAAAGAACCCAGCTGAGTGTGGTATTTTAGCCACAAGGAAGGGAAAAGTTGCTTTGAGCCTTAGTATTGAGATAGAAACATGAAAGCCCCTATTTTACACCCCAAATTACAGGTATCACATATAAGATCAATATTTTATCTCACATATGTAAGGTGCTTGTTTTAAAATAAAGGTAGAGATCTAAGATGAGAAGTGGCTATTTGATGTGAGTTTTATTTGGAAGGGGACTTTAAGGCAATTGAGTTTAATCTCTGATACAGTAGAAGAAAATCTCATGGCCATAATAGCTGAGTCGGAACAGCACAAAATACTTGGTTGCTCTGTTTTGTGAATGGTAGGCCTGTTTGAATAACTTGATTGTTTTTAAAAAAAGTAAGATGAGCTGAATGTGTTGACTGCACTTTCAAAAATATAGTCTTAGTCTATGACAAAAAATTAAATGGTAAATGATCACTGTGGTTTAAATAAAAAATTATGGTTTAACTAGTAATATTCACTCTTCAAAACTGAACACAGTGTTATTAAAGACCAAGAATGCTACTGAGAATAAATAGATTTCTAAGCTTTTGAAGGTAACAAAAATAACTATATGACTTTTGAGAAAAGATCCTTTGATGCCACTATCAGATAGAATATGACTGAATTGTTCTGGTCAGCATAGAATTTCTTATTTCATAATCATCTAGGAAAGTATTTTTAAGCAGTAAGGAGTCCTCTCTTAGCTGATAAGTTGAAACTCATTATCAACAATGAAAAAATTCCGTATTTTTAAAAAGGTACTCAAATAAACAATGCTTTTTTAGATTTTACTTTTTTCCCCTTTCTTTCTTTCTTATTTTTTTTTGAGATGGAGTTTCACTCTTGTTGCCCAGTTGCCTAGGCTGGAGTGCAATAGTGCAGTTGTGCCTCACTGCAACCTCTGCCCCCCAGGTTCAAGTGATTCTCCTGCCTCAGCCTCCTAAGTGGCTGGGATTACAGGCATGCACCACCATGCCTGGCTAATTTTGTATTTTTAATAGAGATGAGGTTTCCTCCATGTTGGTCAGGCTGGTCTCAAACTCCCCACCTCAGGTGATCCACCCACCTCGGCCTACCCAAATGCTGGGATTATAGGCATTAGCCACCACACCCAGCCCCTAACTTACCTTTCAAATTCTGTTGATATTCAATGGTATGTTGTAGACCTTTTATTATATTATGAAGAGTAGCACATTCTAAAACAAAAAAGTAAATTTATTTTAAAATACCTTGCTTTCAATTTTGGAATTATTCTTTCAGTTGAAGTAATTAAAATAATATTTAAGCCAGGCATGGTGGTGTGCACCTTGTAGTCCCACCTGCTGAAGAAGCTGAGGCAGCAAGATCACATAAACCCAAGAGTTTAAGGGTGCAGGGGCTATGCTTATGCCATTGTACTCCATCCTGGGTGACAGAGCAAGACCCTGTCTCTAAAAATAATAATAATAATATTTAATTGGAAATTACAAGATAGTAATAAAGCAAACAAGTACCTTAAAGGAAATTATATAAGGGGAAAATATAACTTTTATTTTTGTGAGACAGACTCTTGCTTTGTCACTCAGGCGGGAGTGCAGTGGTGCGACCTTGGTTCACTGCAACCTCCGCCTACTGGGTTGAAGTGATTCTCCTGCCTCGGCTTCTTGAGCAGCTGGGATTACAGGCACATGCCACCATACCTGGCTAATTTTTGCATTTTTGTAGAGATGGGGTCTCACCATATTGGCCAGGCTGGTCTCAAACTCCTGACCTCAGTCCATTTGCCTTGGCTTCCCAAAGTACTGGGACTAAAGGTATGAGGCTTTACTTTTAACTCACTCATTAAGGCAAATGAATTTCAAAACTTAGTAATGACTTTCCTAAGGCACAGAATAGTACTGATCCTACCATGTGCCTAAGCAATCTCTGCCCTAGTAGTAAGGCACACCTGCACATTTCCAGGGACTATAAGAAGTATGTTCATGTAAATCTTCCATGAAAGAACATCCTAAGGAAAGGGAGTTAAATTATATTGTTTAGGTATAAGATAATACGTGGTACAATTGCATGGGATAGGACAACACTTTTCTTACTGTCTTCCAATGTGTCCTCTTAGTACTTATGCCTGTGTCTTAGAGCAAGAGATTAGCAATAAAAGAAGTAGAAACTCAATAAATAGTGTTCCAAGGCTTCGGCAGCTTTGCTGCCAATGGCTTCTGACATAATAGGAGTTAGAAGTTTCGTTGCAAATATTAGAGCCTTGACATGCGCATCCAAGCCTTGACTGTACTATTGGTTACCACCAGCAACAGCCAAGAAGGATAGCAATAGTAGTGGTAACTTCTATTACTTTAGAAGTCCATTTAGCTATTAGCGCTACAACAGCAGAGACTATTTTTTATTTTTCTTACCATTGCTTCCTAGTATTTAGAACACTTGTGGTCCATAGTAGGTAATCCACAAATATTTGTTCAGTGATTATTGGGTGGATAGGTAATATCACAGTAAGCTGAAGCAGAAAAGGGGTAAGTGGAGAGTCTCTGGTATGAAAATAACATATATTTTGTCAATGGAATGAAAGAACCAATATTGTGAAGGAAGAATTCAAAATTTTTTTCACTTTTTAATTAGACATTCTGCACTTAGTCTCATGTACTTTTTCAACTATGCTGACAGAAATGAAAGTATTTTGCAGAAGTTTAAACGTTTATGATGATATAAGTTTCTGCTGTTGTGGCTCTTCACTCCTCCCTCTTCTCCCTATCATCCCCATCATCCATTCAAAGTTCCCATCATCCTCCATTTTTTCAATCTTGCTATTTCCCAGTAAGAGAATGATGGTTAAATTACATTTGACAGAAACTAGCTGAGAATTTGCTTCATGAATCTCACTGTGCCAGCTGCTACAATTAAAAAATTAGAGGCATAGACAGACTCTGTTATCACTTGTCTTTGTGCCTTTTAGAGTAATGAATCCAGTGAATCATAGAATATAGTAGTTGAATTACCTCAGTAATCTGTACATTGAAAACAGAACCCTGCAACTGAATGTTTCAAAAATGTGTATTTTCAAAACTTGAACACAAGGTGGCTCTCTCACCACATTTTTCTACAATGGAACCTAGATAAGAAATTCTTCACAAGAATATTATTCACTAATTTTGAATAATGGCTTTTAATTCTCTTTGCGAACTTTAATCCACATTATTTTTTTTGTTGGACTTTACCATGTAATTTGAAAATAGTAGCCTATTAAATTCTTTCTAAAAACCAGAAGTCCAAATGTTAAGCTATTTCTTATGCTATATAATTTAGTAAATCAATAATCATTCTGAGCTCAAATATAGACTCTAAGATTAACCAATAATATGAATACTAATATGTATTTCATATAATAGTTAGAGATATTAAATGCAATTACACATGTAAAGAGTTTTATGCAGGGCCAGGCGCGGTGGCTCAAGCCTGTAATCCCAGCACTTTGGGAGGCCGAGGCGGGTGGATCACCAGGTCAAAAGATCGAGACCATCCTGGTCAACATGGTGAAACCCCGTCTCTACTAAAAATACAAAAAATTAGCTGGGCATGGTGGCGCGTGCCTGTAATCCCAGCTACTCAGGAGGCTGAGGCAGGAGAATTGCCTGAACCCAGGGGGCGGAGGCTGCGGTGAGCCGAGATCGTGCCATTGCACTCCAGCCTGGGTAACAAGAGCGAAACTCTGTCTTAAAAAAAAAAAAAAAAAAAAGAGTTTTATGCAGTGCTTTGTTCTCCATACTAATATTATTACTATCTTTAATTGGCAAAGAAATTCTTTATCTGGCTGGCATCAGAGGTAGAAAATAAAATGTGCATATATCATTCTTTGTTGTTGAATAAATCCAATCATGTGTAGTTTGCCCTTCCTTCCTAAGTGAATTATTACACACTTGGCTCCATAAGTTGTCATTCTCATTTGTTCTTTTATTTTTCATAAGTACTATCCAGCAGAAAGGACATTAGATTTAGAACAAGTAAAATTGTATTTCTTAAAAATAATTTTTGTGGTTACATAGTAGGTGTATATATTTATGGGGTACATGAGATGTTTTGATAAAGGCATACAATGTGAAACAAGGACATCATGGAGAATGGAGTATCTATCCCCTTAAGCATTTATCAATTGAGTTATAAACAATTTAATTACATTCTTTAAGTTACTTTAAAATGTACAATTAAGTTATTATTGACAATAGTTACTTTATTGTTCTAACAAACAGTAGGTCTTATTCATTCTATTTTTTTTTTTTGGTACTCATTAGCCATCCCCACCTCCCTTCCAGCCCCCCTACTACTCTTCCTATCCTCTGGTAACCATCCTTCTACTCTTTATGTCCATGAGTTTAAATATTTTGACTTTTAGATCCCATAAATGAGAACATGTGATGTTTGTTTTTCTGTACCTGGCTTATTTCACTTAACATAATGATCTCCAGTTCCATATGTTGTTGCAAATGGCAGGATCTCATTCTTTTTTATGGCTGAATAATACTCCATTGTGTATGAGTATCTTATTTTCTTTATTCATTCATCTGTTGATGGACACTTAGCTTCCTTCAAATCTTGGCTATTGTAATCAGTGCTGCAACAAAGAGTGCAGATATCTCTTTGATATACTGAATTCCTTTCTTTTGTGTATATACCCAGCAGTGGGATTGCTGGGTCCTATGGTAGCTCTATTTTTAGTTTTTCAAAGAGCCTCCAGACTGTTCTTCAAAGCGACTATGCTAATTTACCTTCCCACCAACAGTGTACGAGGGTTCCCTTTTCTCCACATCCTTACCAGCATGTGTTATTGCCTGTCTTTGGATATAAGCCATTGTAACTCAGGTGAGATGAGATTTCATTGTAGTTTTGATTTCATTTCTCTGATGATCAGCGATGTTGAGCACCTTTTCATATGCCTGTTTACCATTTGTATGTCTTCTTCTGAGAAATGTCTATTCAAATCTTTTGTCCATTTTTGGATTGGATTATTTGATATTTTTTTTCCTGTAGGGGTATTTAAGCTCCTTATATATTCTGGTTATTAATCCCTTGTCAGAGGGGTAGTTTGCAAATATTTTTTTCTCATTCTATGGGTTGTCTCTTCACTTTGTTGATTGTATCCTGTGCTGTGCAGAAGCTTTTAAATGTAATGTGATCCCATTTGTCTATGTTTGCTTTGTTTGCCTGTGCTTGTGAGGTATTGCTCAAGAAATCTTTGCCCAGAGCAATGTCCTGGAGATTTTCCCTGATGTCTTCTTCTAATAGTTTCATAGTTTGAGGTCTTAGATTTAAGGTTTTAATTCATTTTGATTTTATTTTTGTGTATGGTGAGAGACAGGAGTCTAGTTTCATTCTTCTGCATAAGAATATCCAGTTTCCCCAACACCATTTATTGAAGAGACTGTCTTTTCCTCAGTGTATGTTCTTGGCACCTTTGTCAAAAATGAGTTCACTATGGATGTGGGGATTTGTTCATGGGTTCTCTATTCTGTTATATTGGCCTATGTGTCTGTTGTTATGCCAGTATCATACTGTTTTGCTTACTGTAGCTCTGTAGTATAATTTGAAGCCAGGTAATATGATTTCATTTTTTTTTTCAGTTTTTTCATTTTGTTTAGGACAGATTTGGCTATCTGGGTCTTTTGTAGTTCAATATAAATTTCAGATTGTTTTTTCTGTTTCTGTGAAGAATGTCATTAGTATTTTGATAGAGATTGCATTGAATCTGTAGATTCCTTTGAGTAGTATGGACATTTTTAATAATATTGATTCTTCTAGTCCAAGAACATGGAATATTTTTCCATTTTTTGGTACCCTCTTTAATTTCTTTCATTAGTGTTTTGTAGTTTTCATCATAAAAATCTTTCACTCCTTTGGTTAATTCCTAGGTATTTAATTTTATTAGTAGCTATTGTAAATGGGATTACTTTTCAAATTTCTATTTTAGGTTGTTCACTGTTGGCATATAGAAATGCTACAGTTTTGTATGTTTATTTTGTATCCTGCAACTCTACTGAAGTTGTTTATTCTAATAGTTTTCTTGTAGTTTCTAGGTTTTTCCAAATATGAGTTTATATCATCTGCAAACAAGAATAATTTGACTTCTTCTTTTCCAGTGTGGATGCCCTTTATGTCTTTCTCTTGTCCGATTGCTCTAGTGAGGGCTTCCAGTACTATGCTGAATAACAGTGGT